GAAGACCGCCGTTTTGGAGCGTCGGGAAGCCGAAAAGAGGAGAACCCCCAAATTCACCATAAACCAACAGAAAATTCATTATTTGTACCTCTTGGGGTCTTCTTGGGAGTGCTCTTGGAGGCCTCTTTGGAGCCGTCCTGGATGCCTCTTGGGCCATCTTGAGGTCACGTCGGTCACTCTTGGAGCGCTCTTGTGCTGTCTTGGGGGTCTCTGGGACGTCTCCGATGACCCCCCTGATCGCCCCAGGTGTGCTGCGAAGGCTTGTCAAAACGCCTTGCGAGGCCTGGGGGGCCGCTTCGAGGCCCGTCCAGAGGGTTCCAAAGCCCCAGATCCCGGGAGTCCGGTTTTGGGGGGGGGGATGGGTTTTCCCCCCGCTTATAAAAATATAAGAAGAGGAGAATATACATATATATATATATACAACAGACACAAATCCCAATATTCACCATATTTCCATGTGTTCTGGATGCTCGTCTCCCCCTCCACTGCACCCCATATTTTCCGCAGCTCCCGGGAATCGAAGTTTCAGTGTGTCTGTGCTGTCTCCCCCTCTTGACCCGCGCAGGGCGCGCTCACGTGTGCGTGCTTCGACGCTGCAGGGGTGTTGGGGGGGGAGCAGCGCCGATCCAAGAAATCCGCACAGAGCTCGAAACGCTTGCTTCTGCAATTCCTTCCTCGAGCCACCCCCACAACGTCGGAATACCCTCGGCCAGGCGCAGCTCATGGAACGCACCTCAACAAATCCATCAGAAAACAACCGAACTCTAGAAAACGTCCAGACAGCTACCGAACAAGAAGTTGCAGCCACTATTTTAGCAACCCCGAGAGGAGGTACTTGAGCGCTGTGTGAACGCTGCTTGGCGCTGTTCGCTGATACGCGGTCATTCCAGGCCGAGCGGAAACCTCCGTGCTTTACCGTCTCATCTGATGGGGAAAGCAAGAGGCATACCGACACCGCTGCTCCCCGGACCTCTCCTGGGGTTCGGGGGGAACGGGATAGCAAAGGGTAGGGTAGGGAATCAGCTCACGATGCTGATTTTCCCAGCGCCTCCCGGCGCCGGGAGTCGCCCACGTATCGAGGAATAGGCCCAGCGGCGGGGCCGAAACCAGCTGCATGCAGCAGATTTCGTAACCCCCCTTTCCCTATCCCCCCCTTTCGTTCGGCCCGAGGGGTGCCCTTTGATGGGGATCCGGCGGTGGCGACGAGGGCCTCCTGGGAGGCCCATAAAGGACGACCACGAAGTGAGGATAGCGGTATCGGTACAGTAGGGGCCCGACTACGAGAAACCTTCCACAAGAAACCCAGCCCTGAGACCCCAGGACGTCCCTTGATTTTTGGTGTGGGAAAGTCACGCTTTCCATAGCAAAACCATCGAAACCCACGAAACCCAGGGCAACCTGGAGGCAAGCAGGTTGTCTCTTGACATGGGTCTCCACAGCACATGTTCCCTCCTTCGATCTCTGTGGAGGGGGCCCGGCCTCGAAGCCGAGCTCCCTGCCGAGCCGCAGGTCCTCCTCCACCCTGGCGCTGCTCACGGCCTCGACCATGCGCTGGGCGAGCACCTGGCACAACCCCCGGTGCGGCGGCTCACGGGACGAGTCGGGGCAGCAGTGGGGCCTCGGCACGACTGGGGGCATCGAGGGCCGAGGAGGAGGATCCTCCTCGGTCCTCGGGCATTGTTCGTGCATGAGCAGGAGGAGGAGGAGGAGGAGGAGGAGGAGGAGAGAAAGGAAGGGAAGAGGAGGAGGAGGAGGAGGAGGAGGAGGAGGCGGTGTCCTCGGGGCGCAGACCATACTCCCGCCGGCCTCCGCCAGCCTGCCGCTGGCGGGCCCGCCGCTGCCCTCCTGCCGCCGGCCTCTCGCCGCCGTCCGCCCAGGGAAGAGATGCCAGCTCCTTCGAGCCTCGCAGGCGAGGCCCTCTCTGGACTGCCCCCCCCTCTGTAGGGAAACGAACTCTCTACACACCGACGCTTTTTTCCGACCCTGCGCTGAACTTCGCACAGGAACGCGGAACCTGGTGTATGCGGGATCCTGGTGTATGCAATTCTCGTCGCTTCCCCGCGAAAGCGGGGAGACAATACACACCAGACCACCCCGACGTTGTCCCCGACCCTCGAAAAGTCGTAGGATTGAAAAACGGCCCGCCACTGGTCATGTACATGTTCCAGTTTCGGACCATGATGGAGCGGAGTGGAGCGGAGCGGATGTCCGAATGTGGCGGGGCGAGACGGACATCAGCGGTGGGTTCCATGCTCGTTCTGGGGACCTTCCGGGAACCATTCGCTCCGCTCATGCGCCGATGCTGCGTCGAACTCCCGTTACACTGGAGTCGAACTTCAGTCGAACTTGAGTCAGACTTGGGTCGGGCCTGAGTCGAGCTAGAGTCCAGCAGCTCTCGTCGGTGGCCCCCAGGAAGGTCCCCAGAACGAGCAGCCCAGCGGGGAGGCCGTGCGTGGGAGGAGGAGGCCGTGCGGGGGAGCAGCGCAGGAGGAGGAGGAGG